CCTGACAGGTGGGACACTCTGCGACGTAGTCCTTCACAAAGTCCTTGCGCTTCGGCCAGACGTACAGACGACTCACACGAGTCAACGTCTTGTGGAAGCCCATATGACCGGCAGCTGCCTGGTCATGGAACTCTGCTACTGCTCGGACACGTAGCTGTCCAGTGGAGGGAACACAAATACGGGGCTCTCTGGTGCCCTGTGAACCGTGCCAGTACACAAGATCGTTGTCCCCGAGAGAGTAGTTCGGGACGGTCTTGCCAGTCCGAAGGGTCGCGTGGATGTCGCGATAGTCGGGGCAGTGGTAGTACTGAGTGCGAAACTCGTCGATCACCGAGTGGTGGACGGTGCTGACCGAGATGGAAGAGAGCTGGATGTGCTCTTGGTCGTGGTGAGGGCGTCGGGATAGGGCATCTGCGACCCGATTAGTCTCACCCTTGATGTGCTCAGTGGTGAAACTAAACTCGGATAGGTCGCGCCACCAGTGAGACTGTCGAGGAGTGAGCTTCGGCTTTGTCAGAAAAGCCTGGACAACAAAGTTGTCCGTGCGCACCGTGAATGGTGCCCCGTGCAGGTAGTGACGCCAATGCCGAGCGGCATAAACTGCTGCGAGAACCTCACGTTCATCAACAGTGTAGTTTATCTCGGTGGGCAGGAGCTGACGGGAGTAGAAGGCTATCGGACAATCACCTGAGCGAGACTCGACAGTGCCGTCCTCGGTGATGGTAGGAGAATAGTCAATAGAAGGCTCGTCAGTAGCTGGACGAGTAGGCGTCAGTCGGGAAGCAGTGGTAGGGGTAGGTGGTGGGAAGCGAGGGATACGAGGATGAAAGGAATTAGGAGATGAGGGGGAGACCTGAGAAAGCACTGCTCCTACAACGAAGTCTAACGCATCGGTGGTAAGGATAAAAGGGCGGTAAAAATCGGGTAGGTGAAGAACCGGTGCGCATGTCACCGCCTTCTTGAGGGCGCGGAAGGCGTCCTCGTGGAGGGGTGTCCAAGCCCGGGGTAGGTTCTTCCGGAGGAGGGTGGAGGTAAGGACGTAGGAATACCTAGCGTATCCCCGGATGAAGTTACTATAGTAGCTGGTTAGGCCTAGGAAGCTGCGAAGCTGCTTGGCGGATGTGGAAGCGGGCCACTCCGCAATAGCAGTGATCTTCGCGTCGTCCATGTGGAGACCCTGGTCAGACACTTAGTGTCCTAAGAAATTCACTTTGTGCTGGGCAAAGCGGCACTTGCTTAGCTTGGCGTAGAAGCCATGTCTGCGCAAGCGGTCAAGGACGTCGCGGAGGTGTCTGAGGTGCTCCTCAAGGGTACGACTATAGACCAGGATATCGTCGAGGTAGACGAGAACGTACTGCTCTAGGATGTCCCTGAACATGTTGTTCATCGTCCTCTGGAAGGTAGCGGGTGCGTTGGTGAGGCCGAATGACATCACCGTGAACTCGTAGTGGCCGAATCGCGATCGGAACGCGGTCTTCGGTTGGTCGGCTGCAGCGACGCGGATTTGATGGTAACCGCTACAAAGATCAATCTTCGTAAAGAAGCGGTTGCCTGCTAGGCGGTCGAACAGCTCATCGGAACGAGGCATGGGGTAGTTGTTCTTAACCGTGTAGCGGTTGAGGCCGCGGTAGTTGATGCAGAGATGAAGAGTTTCATCCGCTTTGCGAGCAAAGAGGACGGGTGCACCCCACGGGGAGTTGCTGGGTTTAATGAAACCCAGTCTCAGGAGCTCCTCAACCTGACGCTTGAGTTCGGTGGCCTCGGGGATCGAGAGTCTGTAGGGTGCCTGGTTGCGAACACGATAGTCAGGCACAAGCTGAATGGAGTGCTCGACGTCACGCATCGGTGGGATGCCGGCGTACGAGAACGACGATGGGAAAACGCCGTAGTACTCTCGGATGAGGTCACGAACTGCGGGCTCCAAGTTAGCCGTATATCGTGCGAGTTCCTCAGCGTCAGCGTCAACACGCGACGGCGGGGTGGACTCGACGGACGGCGGAGGGACGGAAGTAGAGATGGGAGCCATGGAGATAGAGGGAGGATCTGGCTCCAGAGGGATGAGCTCGGCGTCGGGACAGGGTGGATCATAGTGTAAGAGATCTGTCACGTCCACCATAAAGAAGGTGATATCGTCCTGTCGAATGAAGTGAGCGAACTGCCGAGGCGAGGTGACAGTGATAGAGGGAGATGGTGTGGGCACTGAAGGCTCCGGGGGAGGAGGATCGGGGCATGGTGTCGCCGTGGTACCTATGAAAGGTACGGGATACGTATGTCCACACTTCGTTTTGAGAACGAGAGTGTTGGCCGCCCAATCATCCTCGGTGCTGCGGAACCGACGAGACCACGGAGTGCCGAGAATGAAGTCATACCCCGTCTCCATCACATCGAAATATGCAGAGGAGCGGTGGCGACGAGACGCCGGGGAACGCTCAGTCGGCTCGAGAGTGAGGAAGAAGGGGAGGTCGGTGACCGTCTGATCGAAGAAACGCTGGGTCTTGTCATCCCCTAGGATAACAGAGATGGGAGTTGGAGACCCTGTCGTGGGTAAGCGGGCTTCCTTCACCACGCGTGGGTGAATGAAGTCGCCCTGAGAACCGAAATCCCACAGCGCTAAGTACACCCTCGTGGAGGTCCCGAGTCGTACAGGGATGATCGGGAGGGTGCGATCAGGGTCAGAGAGGATGGCGAGAAGGCGATGCAGTGCAGCGACATGGAGGGCGAGTCGCTCCTGACAAGCCTGGAGCATGCTCAAGTCCAGAAGAGAGGACACAACGTCCTCGCGAGTAGCAAGCTGCTCGCCGCAACGGGCTGAGCGAATGGCTCGACGCGTCGGTAGTCGCGGCGGGGAAGGAGGGGAGACGGTGGTCTGCGGAGGCGCAGACGATACTGCAACTGAGGGCTGAGTACACTCTGTCGAGTTCTGCGATACCTCTACTCAAGTAGCGCGAGGGGCGAACCGCGACGGAGATGTCGGGAAGCCCACTACTGAGGAGGGCGCAGGTGTACACTGCACCGTGGCTAGGAGGCGCCGCGGGGACGTGAGGCGCCGGGGGGGGACTGAGCACGACGCTGACGAGAAAGGTCAGCGTAGTGGCGGTCGAGGGCGGTAGTGTAAGGGCACCGCGAGGAGGTATGACCTTCCAAGCGGCAACGCAAACACCCACGCCGACCCAGAATAGTCGCGCGCTCCTCAAGGGAAAGGACACCACGAGGAGGGACGAAGCCCTGAGGGAGGTCCTCCTGAGGGACCTCGGGGGGCGATGCGCCAGCGTGACCGGGGCGGCTGCGTGCCCGAGAGAGGGCAGAGAGCGCGAGCTGAAGGCGCTCAGCTGCAGGGAGGGTAGAGTCCTCCAAGTGATAGTGGACAACCTCGCAGAGATCGAGGTCRTCGCTGTGGTCGCCCTCAGATGACAGTGGGGCAACAACGTCCTGCTCACCATACTCCAGCGCGCTGAAGCGGCGCGAGAAGTGGCGGCCCTGCTGCGTGGAACGGCGGGGGCGACCGCGGAAAGGGAAACGACGCTGGGAAGTGTCGTGAGAGGAGGAGGCGTAGCCCGTGCGCTGGGGCTGGGGGGAGGAGGCGGGGTGAAGACGGGCTCGCATCCGCTGGTGGTCCCTGGCGGCCTCGTAAGCCTGTGGGGCCGATGTGAACTCGTAC